CGGCCCATTTTTTGTTAAATATTTATTTATTTAAATGAATGAATCTTTCTCTTGTTAGTCAAGGAATTCAATGTATGATGGTTGGTCCTGCGTTTGTGTTCCGTTTTGGTGTAAAATGTAGCCTACATTTAATCCATCCATCCATCTTCTCCCGCTTATCCGTGGTCGGGTCGCGGGGGTAGCAGTTCCAGCAGAGAGCCCCAAACGTTCTTTTCCCTGGCCACATCAACCAGCTCTGACTGGGGGATCCCAAGGGGATCCCAAGGCGCTCCCAAGGCGCTCCCAGGCCAGCGAAGAGATATAATCCCTCCACCTGGTCCTAGGTCTACCCCTTGGTCTCTTCCCAGCTGGACGTGCCTGGAACACTTCCCTAGGGAGGCGCCCAGGTGGCATCCTAACTAGGTGCCCGAACCACCTCATCTGGCTCCTTTCGACGCGAAGGAGGAGCGGTTCAACTCTGAGTCCCTCCCGGATGACCGAACTTCTCACCTTATCCCTAAGGGAGACACCAGCCACCATGCGGAGAAAACCCATCTCGGCCGCTTGTACCCACGATCTCGTTCTTTCGGCCATGACCCATCCTTCATGACCATAGGTGAGGGTAGGAACGAAAATGGCATGGTAGACAGAGAGCTTTGCCTTCTGGCTCAGCTCCCTTTTCGTCACAACGGTGCAGTAAAGCGACTGCAGTACCGCTCCCGCTGCTCCGATTCTCCGACCCATCTCACGCTCCATTGTNTGGAAACTAAAGTATTATGGTTAGTGATCCATCCATCCATCCATCTTCTCGGGCTCTCTGCTGGAACTGCTACCTCCGCGACCCGACCACGGATAAGCGGGAGAAGATGGATGGATGGATGGATCACTAACCATAATACTTTAGTTTCCATCACAGCATATGGGCCTCCTCCTGTAATACAGTTTCCTCCAATGATGCAATTTGAGAAACACATGGACGATTTTCAGACACAAAATAACACAATTATTTTATTCCGTAAGGTCTGCATTTGGTATTTTTTCATGCATGAGTAAACATAAATTAGATCTACAAGGTTAAATATGTTTTTATTTGAATAAAACAGCGTTAAACACTTATTTGTATCAAGTGCAGTCTGTTCAAAGGAATAATCTTCATAATATATATTCTCTGCAGGTATTTTTAGTCCTTGACAATTTGACATAGTCCAGAATTCGTATGGAAGTGTATATAACTTGATAAATGGCATGGTTTCTTTTCAGGAAGTGAAGGCACTTATTTGTGTGAAATGTCGCCACCCTTTAGCGTCAGTGCCTTACTACTGTTTGTTTTCCTCCATTACAGTCAACAGTTAATGTCAGTTATTGATGGGTCATTGGGGTGATATAAAATATATTTCAAATCACTGCAGTTTCATACCAGATTGGAGACATATAATACATTTAACTCATAACTCCAGAGTTTTATATTTGTGTTGCTTTCATAACCCTCTGTCTATGGCATACTGGTGTGCCCTCAGGCAACAAACCAATTTTCTCGACCTCACACCGGTCTTTCAATTGTTCAGTTTTAAAAAAATATATATATATATGATGTCACCAGACATGGTTGTGTCCAATACGCTGAAGCAATGATATGGATGTGACCTTTTGTCTGGGGATGGAGCAGTCCTGTCTGCAAGGAAAGCTGCAAGGGACACAGGGGCACCACTTGCTAAGATACATTTCATTTTTGTGGCCACTTTTGTCAAGGCAATATCATGCACGTGTGCAGATGTGCTCAGTTTTAAAACGATTAACGTATTAATATTATCACAGTGCAAATGTGTGCAGCAGACACAACCTCCATTCAAATAGCACTGCTGCAGTCGCTTTAGTGATATCACGGTGTAAATACACAGCAGAAATAGAGTAAATTATATCCAGCACCAACAATGCAGGGGTCCATTTTGAGCAAAGGGGGGCGGACTGCTCTTATTCTCACAGATTGAAATAAAGAGGGTCAACAGGTGACTGAGAACAAGCAGTTGGGTCATTTGGCTCTTTTTGCTCACTCAATGCAACCCTAAACAGATGAGGATTTTTACTATTAGAATATAGTCTTTTATTCTTTAAATAAAAGGTATTTTCCTGGTCCACACTGAATTGTAACTAAATTAATGGTGGCTTTTTTATTTATATATAATGCAAGCTAAAGCATTTTTTTTGCAATATTTTTCTAATCGTGTTGTGAGGTTACGAGAGTGTGAAAGCGTACTGTGGGGGCTTGTTTCACCGTCAGTTGAATAATCCAGGTCCGTCTACTGTTGCGCTGCGTCTGGATAGGGAAATGTGGCGCGCAAACGCACGGCGCGTCTCCATGAGCCTTTCCTTAATGTTGTTGGACGGATTTCGGACCGCGTGAACTATGAATGAATATAACCTAAAGATGAATCTCTCCTTGGTGAACTGCTCCTCTTGGAAAGCGGAGTCGCTGGTCATTTCTTTGGGCTTTTCGGTCATTTTCCTGCTCGGCACCGTGGGAAACTCTCTGGTCCTCGCGGTTCTGTTCCGTAACGGGCAGATGAACACCAAAACCACCAACATGTTCATCTTCAACCTCGGGATAGCAGATCTGTGCTTTATTGTTTTCTGCGTGCCCTTTCAGGCCACCATCTATACCCTGGATGAGTGGGTTTTTGGTCCTGTGGTGTGTAAGGTGGTGCACTTCATCATTTTCCTCACCATGTACGCGAGCATCTTCACCCTGACAGCTGTTTCCCTGGACAGGTGCGTCTGCTACATTTTATAAAAGTATTCCTAGATAATAAAAATGGTTCCGAATTACACAACCTGCACATTCAAAGGAAAACATATTATATGTTGGAGGTGCAGTTGGCAGTTGGCAGTTACTTTAAATGACACTTTATTAAATTGTCAGTACAGTAATACTAAGGAGCGTTTCTGGATTGGGTGGATAATTCCTTACGTGTTACAGCAGTTAGTTCACTTAAGATATAAATACTAAAGCATGTAAGTAAGGTACAAATAATAAGCAAAAGTAATGAACAATGAAAAAATGTAGATGGAATAAAACAAAAAGTTAAAGGACAGAGTGCCACAACCATTAAGGCTTTGCTTTTTGACAACAAAGCCTTTACAATACAAAAAATACATACAGTTTATTTGCAAATTGTACAAAAATAACATTGCAAACACATCCAAATGATTGAAAGCAAAATCAAATCAATTTGAAAGGACAAGATATGGACATAGATAATTACTTTAATATCAGGTTTATTAAATGTAAAATGTTTATGACAGCAACGCACTTTTAAATCATATGTTGTATACTCAAAATTAGACTCAGTCAATATGTATGGGTTTGTTTTCTTTTATTGGGCTTCATGGTATTTTAACATGTACCATCATCCTCATGTACAATACAAAGGCTAGGTGAAGATTATTGATTTGTTTTGTTGTATAGAAATCAACTTGAGAATCACCTTTAGTAACTGAAAACAAATTGTCCATGCAGAGTATCACCTTAATCAAACTACTATGATTCACAGCCGTCAGTAACGAACATCTGGATCTCTTGCAGGTATTTAGCTATTTGCTACCCGCTCCGCTCTAGAGAGATGAGAACCCCCAAGAACGCGATCATCTCCATCTGCCTGGTCTGGGCCTTGGCGCTGGTTTTCTCTGGCCCGTATCTCAGCTACTACTCACAGATGGACCTGGCTGGCAATGTGGTGTGTATTCCTGACTGGGAGTCCAAGCCACGCATCATCATGGACGTGTGCACTTTCGTCTTCGGCTACCTCATTCCCGTCCTGGTGCTCGGCCTCACCTACGCCCGCACCATCCGGTACCTGTGGACCAGCGTGGATCCCGTGAAGGAGATGTCCGAGTCGAGGCGGGCCAAACGTAAAGTCACCAAGATGATCATCATGGTGGCGGCCCTCTTCTGCCTCTGCTGGCTGCCCCATCACGTGGTCATCCTCTGCATGTGGTTCAGAAGCTTCCCGCTCAACCACACCACCTACGTCCTGCGCATCCTGTCCCACCTGGTGGCCTACACCAACTCCTGCCTCAACCCCATCGTCTATGCGCTCATCTCCAAGCACTTTCGCAAAGGTTTCAGGAAGGTGTTCAGCTGCTCCCTGAGGAGGAGGGAGGTCAACAAGGTGCACGTGGTTCAGGCGGTGAACACGGTCAGCAGCCTGGAGACGTCCAACTGAACACAAAGACATTGAATCTGACAAGATGGAGGACAGGATGAGCCAACTGAACATTATGAACATACTCAAAAACGTGCTTTAGATGAAACTATGTCCCAAAAGCATTTCATTCACTGAACTAAAAGCATCAAGCCTGTGGAGCAGACTTGTCTTTAAGGAAAGACCCTAATGACACAACTGTTACAAATGAGAATACCTCAGACCTCAGAAAAGCTGAAGAGGCTTGACCGGTAATTACAGAGAAACTGATGAATGGAGAAGGGATGTCAATGATTAAACACTACGTGACGATTAGCACGAGTGTTTTTGACCAGTGACGCATGAAGGTATAGGTTAATTTACAGTCTAATTGGGCGGTTCAGAGAGGATGAGCTTCTCCAATGAACGCAGTGAGTGTGCGTCCAGCTTTCTTCGCTCTCAAAGCTAATTATATAGCAGGCGAGAAAGCAAGCAAATGATTGTTGAAAACATTTCCATTCAGAATCTATGTCTCATCTGATTGGACTTTAAAGAGTCAAGGGACCGAACTATGAAGCGCCCGAAAACAGTCAATATGTGATCGATCATCGCATGCTTCACAATGACAGACAAGATAATTACCAACAAATGAACATTTTGGCACAGCCTTTTTGGCACTGCCAAAGCTCATCAAGTCAACAAAGTGCTATACCTAAACACTTTTTGTACTTCACTACATTTTGTGTTTTATTTCTTTAAAATGTACTGGATGGCTACCAGTCAATGGATGTTGGGCTAACACAAGCAACATTCCTCTATGTTGACCTCCCTAGAATGTATGAAAACCTTTACCTTTGAGGAAAATAAATAATACTGTATTTGAAACAAATAAAGGAGGGTGAGGCTACTGTTTTAACCATGTTTTGGTATATAAATGGATGGCAAAATACTTTTTTTCAGAATCAGCTCAGACCATGACACAAATTGATTGATCAACAAATTGCTTGGCCTTCACTTTTTTTTCTGTGACCCAGAGACATTTCAGGAGTATGGATCTAGAGTGGGTTTGCCACTTTGATCCAGACTGAAATATCACAACAACTGGCTTGCGATGAAAATCGGTAGATAAATTCATTATCTACCCGTCTTCTACCGCTTATTCGAGTCGGGTCGCAGTGGTAGCAGTTCTAGTATATGCACTATCCAAAGAGGAAAGAGCATGTATGTTGTTGTCTTCCCCTTAATTATCCTCTAGTAGGAGGGGGGGTTGACATTTTTCATTTTGGTTAAATGTAAGAGTAGTTATCGCCTAAAGTGACATTGACATTGGCACAGATAATCATGGTTCCCAGAGGATAACTTCCTATGGTTCTTCTGAGTTTGCCACTACATTACATTACATTACATCTCACTTGTTAGACGCTTTTATCCAAAGCGACTTACATACTGAATGCTGTGGGCAATCCCCACAGGAGCAATTTGGGGTGAAGTGTCTCAGGGACACAACGACATGCTGACTGCAGTGGGGTTTGAACCTGTGCTCCCCTGATCCCAACACCAACGCTCTAATCACAGCCTCCCACTAGAGCCATCATACTCTCAAAAAAATTCTGAAGTACCTTTCCTGGAAATCACATAACTTAAAAGGTAAGACCCGCCAGACAGAGCCATGTTAGTAATTTACTTTAAATGAAATGAGCTGAGTAACGGATATTACCACTATCATATTCTGTGACTTGAAGTACCTTTAACAGAAAACAAATCAAGTTGTAAAGATGTTTTTTAAAGACAATGCCAGACAAATATGAATGACTTAAATGAAGGATTTAATACTCAACAAAATAGAAAGCTAGAATGTAAATATAACGAGCTACCTTGCCTGATTTGGTTCATCAGGGTCACCCAAAAATAATAAGAACTTTCAAAAGGAGTGAGTCACTACAGTTAGGGTTGAAAGGCTCAAAGGAGTCGTGAGGGTCAGTGGTACAAAACGTGTCTGGAAGTTGAATGAGAAGCTGTGTGTGGGAGTTGCTCTGAAACAAGCTGAAGTCCGACAGATTTTCAACTCCAGATCTGAACATTTGTCTGTTGTGTAATTCAGCATTTTGTACAGAAACTTCGACAAGCCGAAATGTTCTCCGGTGATTTTTACTCGCTGCATGATCATCTGTCGTCATTGGAAACCTCAGTGTTGTATGTTGGTTATATATGGCTGTGAATATATGATAACATAAAGAATATGCCTTGGTTTTATATACATTTAACAAGTTTCTTTGTGTGTTTTCTGGCAGTTTTATTGTGACAGTCGTTGAAATAATAAAACCATACATTTGTGTCCCTATTTCCATAGCTCATTAACTTCAATTCTGACATGTGTTTTAGCTCCAACAGCTGATCCTTCTGAGATGTCACACATGACGAGTGGTTCCTGTTACATGTCATCGCATAATGAGCTGTGCTGCTGATTATATGTACACTTATACGGGTATTGATCGTTTCTCAGATGTACAACTCACAAGTTTATGAAGGAAGACGACAGTTCCTTTTTCATGAGGTACAACAAAGATTCCTGAGCTTAGGCGATCATTTTTAGTTCCTCCTGACTCTACTGACTCTAAAATGAAGCAAAAACATGCGGCAATGTTGTTTGGCTCATTTGCCTGAAGTAAATGTTGTCTTTTTGCTTTGTCAGAGAGTACCAGAATGCGTAGTTTAAATCCCCCCCAGACCCCCCTGCAGGGATTCGGTTTGCAAAAATCGTCTCCACAACATGTGAGTGAGCGTCGCTGTCGAGAACAGGCATGTTCAATACTCTTAAATCATTGGCTTCCTCAATAATTCCTCCCTTTTTGGGAGGATGTTGGGATAACACTGTGGTGTCTACTGACATACTAAACCCAGCAGTGTTATGGCACCCTATGCTATGACTTTTGTGTGACTATATGATTACCTTTTATCACTTTTTAATTACATACTATAATTGTTATATACTTGTGAAATTCATCTCGATTACTTTTTTGCCTGACATACTCTACAAAAACTCCTTGGTGCCATTCTCTACCGTGAAGTTTTTAAGACATGCTATACAGACAGATAGACTATATCAGGCCCCTTTAAGGCATGCTCTGACCTCTTTGTGATATACTATGACGTTCTTTGGATTAATTATGCTATGGATTCCTTGTTATACTATACTTTTACAGAGTATAGTATATTCTATACTTATACAAATAAAATACTATTTAATGACATACAAACTATGACTTTTATTTGTTTTTAGTGGAATATTCCATCATTCTTTTCTCTCTGTTTCCATTTTTTCTCATGGCTCACGCATGTAGCCTTTGGAGTTGCTTTTTCTATTTGACATAGCTGTCTCTTTCTATTTCAAATGTTGGCCAGCACAAGCTTACACAAGATGGTGTATTGTCCAGGGACACCTGGAAGTCCAAGATGTAGTTCCTCTGGCAGACAACCTTAAATGATGGACAAACAGTTATATTGCCCTGCTTGTTTAGTCTTAATATTAATAATGTTAATTTATTCTTTCTGAACTAGTTAAAATCTCTGACTAAGGGAAAGATTCTTCAGAATTGCTTTGGGCAACCGCTGTGTCACCCTGTGGCTGCAGCAAATGTCTTTGTCAGCAATCCGGCCGTAACTTAGAATAATCCTTCAGCTGTTTGCCATCAGTTCCAGCTCTCCCGTGTTTCGTTGTGTTTCGACTCCATTGCTTCAGACGTTTCCCATTACATTTTGTATGACATATCAAATTAATACCTTTTATTGACATGACATTATTATGGCATTCTATACATTTATGGTTTAATATTATTATAAAGCAAACTATACTACAAAAGTTTTAGGACTTTTTTAAATAATATATAAACTAGAATGCTGAAATCATTTACTATAACTTTTTGATGCCATTCTTATGACGTGCTGTAGTTTATATAATGCTAATGAGTTTGACTGACTATATTATGACATCTTTAATGACTTTTTATGACAACATTCAACAACACGTATGGTCATGAACATGAACTAATATTTTGGAACTTAAATCTTTAAAATGAACAAAACAAAAAAACAATTTCAATAGGAGTCGTATTGATACTTGAAGGCATAACCAACAGTTTTTTTTATTCCCCATATAAGATTACCTTCAGTCAGCTCATTTTCACCCCAACAACCTCAAACCTTGTAACATGGAGAAGGGAAGAATGGATATTGGACACTTTTTTATCACCATAGAAACCTGAACCTCATGATGGTCTGGTTGTCTTGGTGATCCTGCTGTCTTTGACTCTCCAGCCGCACACTTCACCTGTCAGAGGTAGAGACGCAGCCTGCCGTCCTTCAGTCAGCACTCCAGTTTGACATATTTTACTCAGATGTTTGTTGTTGACAGGAAGAGTGAAATGTACCATCAACAAAAGTGAGATCTATTGGTACTTTTCACAATTATTTTTCCGTTTTTTAGGATTTTTTTGACACACTATAGCCTACTATTGTTTTCTTCAATATTATTCAATACTGGGTGCTTTATTTATTGAACTGTCGTTTTTATCTGATATTTCTGATATAATATACTATGATTTGTTATTCCATGTACTATACTTTTAAATATATACAGTGGGGCAAAAAAGTATTTAGTCAGCCACCAAATGTGCAAGTTATCCCACTTAAAAAGATGAGAGAGGCCTGTAATGTTCATCCTAGGTATACCTCAACTATGAGAGACAAAATGAGAAAAAAAATCCAGAAAATCACATTGTCTGATTTTTAAAGAATTTATTTGCAAATTACGGTGGAAAATAAGTATTTGGTCACCTACAAACAAACAAGATTTCTGGCTCTCACAGACCTTTAGATTAACAGATTAACATTAACATGCTTATAGTAGTTCTAAGTGCAGCCTGTAGCACCATCGTTGATGGAGCATATGTGTGGGCAGGAAAGGAGTGAGCAGAGAGTAGAGTAGTTGTCGATTCTTGTTCTGTTTTCTGTGACTATCTGCCTCACCCTGTCAGACTTTCAGTTGCGCGCGCTACTAAAGAGACGTGTTACCATGGAAACCAAACAATGGTGTTGCTGTATTAAAGTCCGAGTGGAAACAGTCCTGAGCTATTTGATTTTGTCAGAAATCGGGAGAAATATGACCCCGGGAGGAAACCGGGAGAGTGCAATGAAATCGGGAGTCTCCCGCGAAAATCGGGAGGGTTGACAAGTATGCGCTGCACAGCTGATCGTCTGACAGCAGCCAGCTCTGTCCCC